TATGCAACAGCAGCTCGGGGTGACACAGCAAAGCCAGTTTTGAGGTACTGCAGACACTTCTTTGCCTCAAATAGTCTGTGCATCTGAAGAAAGGTCTGGTGGAGAAGGAGTGGCAGAGCCAGCCTGATAAGATCAACAGCTCCTCGAGGCTCAAAACTCTGCTAATTTTGGGTTGAGTGTCCTAATTTCCCTTTGCATCATGTGAGTTGAGAAAAGATCTAACCCAATCTGGGCCAAAGACAATAAATTATGTGTTTTAATTATGGGGTTTTGGTTCTTTACAGACAAAGCGTATTAAAGAAACTATGCCAGTTGTGTCTTGTTTATGAACTAAACTGCTGTGGAGAAAGTTTCTTTGGGGTTGCACTGTTGGTTTTAAATGAATCACAGCACTGAGCTTCACCAAGGCCCTCCAAGGCAGCTGGACTCTGCCTGTGCTGTCAGGTGCCTGTCTTCTTGGGGAAAGGCTGCTCTGGGTCTTGCTGCTGGTGGCTCTTCTCCTCTTCAAAGGCAACCACTGAGGGCTCTGAGGCAGGAGGAGCAGCTCTCCTACAGCTTGCATAACACTGCACAGCAGGAGCAAATCTGCCCTCAGGATTCCTCTCCCTTGCTCATCTAATGACCAAGATGAGTCATATCAAGCTTCTTTGGAGCATGAGCTGCATGTTTTTGTAGCCTGTAGCTTGCCCGGGTGTCTGACAGCAAGAGTCACGGGTGGAAGGTCCCAAGAGCTCTGCTCTGCTCTCCTGCAGACCAGCAGTTACTGGTGATGACTGGCTATGCAGGAAAAGTCACATTAAAAAGAACACAAAATGTGTTTACCTTAAACTCTCACGCTGAAATTATTTCACGGTGCCGTGGTTTCTGCATGGCCCACCCTGACCCATTACCACTGGTGGTGCTGAACTGCTCCCATCCCATGAACAAAACCTGACAGTGCCAGCACCTAGGCCTGAGGTTCTGCTGGACCAGTGGTGGTGGAGAAAAGCAGGAAGAAAAATTTGAGGGGCGTTATCAAAAGCAGACATGAGTCTGTTCTTGCATCTGCTTTGCTTTCTTGAGCACATGTTGGCTGGGAAATGGGGCGGCTGCCGTCCGAAGGGCACAAACCCCAGATTTAATTGAGGGTTTGAGTTTGTGCAGGTAACATCAAGGTGGTAACTCGGCTCCACAGCTTCAATTGCATTCAAAAATGCATGCTCATAAATATTTGTATCTGCAGAAGCAGCACCCTGAGCCTGGAAAGGGAGCCCAAGCTCTGCTTCCTTCTGGTGCACAGGTTTTATGATGGTTTGTTTTGCTTTTCAAGGGTAGTGATGGTGTCTCTGTTATTTAATGGCTTTTATAGGACATCACCAGGGAGCCAGAGCTCTTGATTACAAACATTTTAAAAGAAAATGGACCATCTTGCTATGGGTGAGTCTGCTCAGCATCACTGCTTCTGCCTGGGAGGCCAAGACAGACAACTGCCTGCCTTCCTGCCTGTGGTCTCTAGAACTGACTGGAAGAGACAGGACCTGCACAGCTCAGTGTGATGTTTAGGTTCCCAGACTGCTTTTTAAGTCAAATAACGTATTTTCAGCAGGTTGGACTGATACTAAAGGAGGAGAGGAAGGTATCGGGGCTTTTTCCCAAACACACTGTTTATGTTCTCCCAGGAGTGCCTAGAGAACAGGCATGTTTTCAAATGTTTTTACTCTTTTGAGCTGTTTTTCTCAGTCTCCTGTGCACTCTTGATGCTGCTGCTCCTGGAAAAAAAGGCCAGGAAGCCAGCAGCTTTAAATCCCACTTGTCTGTGCCATACTGTGCCTCACTTCTGCTGAGGACTGAGAGCTCCCCCAACACACACTCATGCTGCTGCCCTCCCCAGTGCAAGGGTGGTGGGACGGTGGCGTTCCTGAGAGGTCTGCAGGGACACGGACACAGGCTCTGGCTGTGGCAAGTGGTATCGGAGTCTTCCCCCAGTCTCTCCAGGAGAGGCTGCTGCTCTTTATCACACCAGGCTTTTAGGTCAGGGGCAGGCAGGTAACACTGCCCCTTTAAACTTGTTTCTTTTAAGGGAGCAGATTAAACCCTGCTCTGTTCAGCCTCTTGTGCTCCAGCAAAGCCCACGCTCAGGAGCTGACAGAAAGGTAAAACATGATTAAAAATCCCTCTCATGATGGGTGAGGCTGCTTGGTCTCACCACATTCCAAATCCAGTACCAATTTTGTTGGTTTAACAGCACAGATGATTATACCCAAAGTAACCATCCCTCGTCAGAGTCCTTTGCCTGGTGCTGGGCAGGAGGAAGATGGAGGAGCTGGTTTTTCAGCATCACTCAAAGACAGCTGTGTCCCACCTCCGTGTGAGCCCCACACTTCTGCACAGCACCAGGTGCTGAAGCAAGCAACTCCTTCAAAGTACCCAGGGGAGACAGTTTTCTGTAGAGGACAGGGATGGTAAATCAGCATGCCAACATATGTTTATACCCAGGATTAAGCCAAGAGGCTGTTTCATGCTATAGTTGTACGGGATTGCTGCACTGGTGTCTTGTGTGATGCTCCCCTGAATTTTAAGGCTCACACTCATGTGCTGCAGCATTGCTGAACCCTGACTCCTCCATGCAGCTCTGTGCCTGCCACCAGCCTGTAGCCACAGCTTCATCTAGTCTTCATCACACAGCGTAACTGTAGGGTAAGAACAGTTTCTCTGCTGGAAATTGTTCCCTGGTTGCTGTGAAATTCCTGGGATTTTTTTGTTCAGCTTTGGCCCAGTTGTCTTTCAGTGGTCTCCCAGTGTCACCAGCAAGTAACAGCATCTTCCTATTCTCCTCTGAGCAGCTTTGCTATGTGCCTGGTCCAGCCTCCCAGGCTGGGGCTCCCAGTCACCCAAGGGACATGCAAAGCCAGACAGACCCACGCAGCCCAGCACTGAGATCCTGGAGTGGACATTTGTAACTTTTTCCCAAGTGTACAAAGCCAGTGTTGTATGCTGTAAGTTAAACTTCAAGTCAGATAAGGTGGGAGACAAAGCTGGCCTGTGCTTACAGGCTGCTGTCCCCTGTTGTCATCCGCGGGGCAGCCAGGCATGGCAGAGGCTGGGGCATGCTGCCTGCCCGCAGCACAGAGGCCCAGGGCGCTGGCACTGCTCGAGGCCCCTTCCTGGCCTGAAACCAGCACCCTGAGCACCGAGCCCACGGGGCAGAGCCTCCCTCTAGAATGGCATCAGCCTGGGAACAAGTCAGTCTGCAAAGGCAGAGGCCAGCTGTGCTGTCCTGTTCGACCCCTTCAAGGGGTTGGGTCTTCTCTAGCTCAGCTGTAGGACATTAAATCATCCCGCTTGCTCCCTTAGTGCTTCTTTCTTCCTTCACTGTCAGGTTTTGTTCATGGGATGGGAGCAGTTCAGCACCACTAGTGGTAATGGGTCAGGGTGGGCCATGCAGAAACCACGGCACCGTGAAATAATTCCAGCGTGAGAGTTTAAGGTAAACACACTTTGTGTTCTTTTTAATGTGACTTTTCCTGCATAGCCAGTCATCACCAGTAACTGAAAAAGCCAGGAAATACTGCAGAAAACAGCACTGGCATGTAGTCCTGCTCCTCCTGCTGTGTCCCTGCAGGCTGGCGTGTCAGCAGTCCCGCAGCTACACACAGAGCTCTTGCCTTGCAACCCTGCGGAGATGCGAGCCAGGGGACAGCCACAACCGGGGAAAAGACTGCAAGCACGGGAAGACTCTTCCCGTCCTCCAGCTGACCACAGCTACCTCTCAAAATGTTTCCTTGAGACAAGCTGCCCAGTATTTTACTCCTTCAAAGCCTGAGGACATCCCTGTCCTTGGAGAAGTTGTTGAAGTAAATTGGAGGCACTTCACTAAATCTTTTAAGTGAAAGATAGCAGGATTAAATTCCACTTTTGATATAATCCTCAACTCCATCTTCAAGGGAAGTGCAGCATTGCCTCCAGGCCCAACTGGTGCCTCCATGCTGAATCACTCTGATCCTAAAGTAAATAAAGCTCTTTGAAAAAGGGCAAATGTTTTCTCAGCTGCTCTTCTTCCCTTCAGAAGAGGGGGTGATTGAAATTTTTATGTCTGCAGACATAAATATATGGAGTCATCAAATGCTTTGCAAGATAACTGGTTTGGAAAGTACATTGTGAATCCATGGGACACTCCTGGACCACGCTGCTCTTCTTACAGCTGCTTTCCTTCAGTGCTTTACATTTCATGAGCTCCTAAATGGGCTGATTTAAGTCACTGCAAATTAATCTTCACACATTGTCAGTTCAGGCTGCTGGTGTCCCCAAGACTTTGATTCTGTTCAGCCCTGGAGCCATGTTTGCCCTGGGAGGCAGCAAATATAAACATCCATTTGGCATGAGATGCAGCAACGATCCAAACGGCCGAAGCCCTGAAGGGGGTGCCAAGCCGCCTTCTCCCAGCAGCAGCCGCTCAGGAAGCAGCTGTGCCCTTACCCATCCCCTGGATGGCTGCATGCTCCTTATGCTCCAGCTCCAGTTCTGAAACCAGAGCTGAAGCCTAAAACCAACGGGGCAACCTTTCTGCCAGCTCTGATGGCAGGCCAAAGGCAGACTTAAAGAGTGAGCTAAGTTCAAAGCTGGACACTATGAACCCAGCCCAGCTCTCCTCCACTTTCGAAATTGTTATAAACTAGACTTGAGCATTCATTTACACCGATGCAACATTTTTCAACCTAAGAGAGTAAGGTCATGCCTGAGTCCCTGTGCAGCACAGGGAGACTCCCAGCCTGCCTGTAGGGAGGGATGGGGGCAAGAAGAGGAGGCCGAGGGGAGACCTCCTGGCCCTCTGCAACTCCCTGACAGGAGGGTGCAGAGAGGGGGGATGAGTCTCTTGGGCCAAGGACCCAGCGCCAGGCCCAGAGGGAATGGCCTCAAGCTGCGCCAGGGCAGGGTCAGGCTGGCTCTGAGGCAGTATTTCTTTGCAGAAGGGGCTGTTGGGCGTTGGAATGGGCTGCCCAGGGCAGGGGGGGAGTCCCCATCCCTGGAGGGGTTGAAGAGTCTGGCTGACCCAGCGCTGAGGGATCTGGTGGAGTTGGGAACGGTCAGGGTGAGGGTCATGGTTGGACTGGAGGAGATTCAAGTGCTTTTCCAACTCAGATGATTCTGCGATTCTGTGATGTTGCCCACTGAGCCCTCTTGATGGACAGCAGCACTCTTCCCTCCCACCCCAGGGCGGAATCTCACCTGACTGCAGGCTCAAGCCCACTCTTGCCAGATGTTCCTACCACAGTGCCAGCTGGGGAGCTTGCAGAGAAACTGACTTGAAAATGTCACCCAGTACAGAGCATCTCCCTGAGCCTCCAGACAGCCCTGTGCCCGTCCCCTTGGAGGGCAGGCTGTCCCAGCCAGCTTGGATGCTGGCCCACCATCTGCAGCTGCAGTATTACCGTGACTTTTGCCTCCCCTTACACAGCCTTCACAGCACTAGACATGTAACTATTTCACAGCAGCTCATTGTAGCAGAAATTAAGGGGCTTAACACAGCGAGAGACACCCACCTCAGCTATCCCACACAGCTTCCTCACTCTGCCCAGTCATCACCCCTACAGAAAACCTCAAGGCTGTGAATGCAATGTCAAAATAACACAGGACATTCTACTAATTTTTTAAAAATTATTATTAAATTGCTTAAATTTTAGCAAAACTGCCATGCATTTTTTTCAGTCCCCCCGCTGATGTGCTGCTGCAGGGTTTGGGAGGGATGTCTCATAATTTAGATCTAGCTAGTTACAGACTCCAGTAGGTTTATTGCTTGTAATAACATACAGCCTTGGCTCAACTTTGTGAATCCATTGCTCTCCCTCAGAAACAAAATGTTATACTGAACGTGTTAAGTATTTTTAGTAGTACTTTTCTCCTTTGTCAGTTAAGCCATTAAAAATCAAGGGCACAGTTATTCAAAGCATCTTTTCCCAGCTTCAAGTAATCTACCATTAGCCACAAATTACAGGCTCACAGCACGTGTCAACCCAGTGAATACCTACGCGGAGCAACAGCATGTACCCAAACCCTGACAGCAGCAGCCTTTCAGAGGCAGGATAGGCTTTGAACACAACACACCGCTTCTAGGGTTGTTTGCTCCTGTTCAAACACCCGTCATGCTTTCTCCTTTCCCACCCTGTATAAATGCAGACTGTCAGCTCTAATAAAAGTGAAAATATACCAGGCAATGGGGCCATCGTTGCGGGTATGATGCTGTTCAGGATAGCATCCAAATCTGCCATAGCACATTTTGGAAAGCATTGCCTTTTCTGGGAGAGAAAACAACCTGCTAGGTCAGATGGCCATGAGGGTCAGACACCTTTCTCTTGGAGCTTTGGTAGCAAACCTACACTTCAAGCATTGTGAGGGAAAGCCTGAGAGTACAGGCAAGGGGTTTTGCCAGCAGAAGCTTGCCAGGCTTAAAGAGGGCAGTTTGGCCATCTCCTGGATGAGAAAATGAGAGCAAAGTATGTTCTAGCAGCTTAGCGGCGATTTAATTTCTCTTTTGAAGTGTCAGTGTCAAGGAGATCAAAATAAAAGGCTATTTTTGTTTGGGTTTTTTTAATCCCCTTCTTAGATTACCAGAAAATCCAGGCTCAGTTCTGGTGGGAAATGGGAACAAACTGTCCCTGTGGCAGCCACTGACTCACACCTCCACATAAGGAGTAAAAAGGCAACACCATGATGCTGAGAGGTCTTCAAGTTCTGGGTGGCTCTATGTTACCTGGACAGTGTCACAGAGCACTGAGAGGGCGGATCTACATCTCAGGGACTGGCTGCGGGACCTCTAGCTCCTGCCTAAAGAAAGTCAGGCAAGATACTGCGAGGGATTGCCTTGTGCTGCGGGACAGAGAGCTACTGCAGGGCCTGATCCTGCCAAGCGGCCGGTCCTCTTGGCTCCCGTCAGATCAGTGACGATGAAGGTCCTCGGTATTGCCCATAGCCCTCCAAAATCCAAACCAGTTGCCCTTCAGTTGACTAAAAGGGACTCAAGATCAAGCCCAGCACCCTGTTCCAGCAGGGGATAAGGTTGTTCTGGAGGTAGAAAACACACCTTATCTTGCTTAAACGTGGAGCTTAACAAAATTATGTGAAGGTCATGAGATAGGGCTGGAAGTGCGAATTTGAAACAACAGGGGATTGATCTCTTCCATCCTTTTTTCTCTGAGCCTAGCTTCACAATTCAGTTTTTGACAGGTAGAGATGTATCATCAAGTCTTCCTGTAGTGATGGAGAAGACAAGCTCTAGTGCTGTCTGCTGGTCTATGGGCAGAGAAAAGAGATGAAATTTTTTCTGAGCTAAAGCTCTGAAATATGCTTGTAAGAAGCTGGAAATTCCCTTCACAACACTTTTTTTTTCCCCCTTTCACTGTGAGAGGGGAAGCTTTTTTTTTTCATCTGACCTTGCCTGGACGTGGACTGCATGTCCTGTGATTGACCCAGGACCACCCTATTTCCCACAGACTCTGCTTGAACGTGCAATGCACTTCCAGGTCCTGGGTGACAGTGTAAAGTTCAACCAAGGATCCCTCTGTTTAACTGTGCAAGGGGCTCGTAATCCCAGTGGGTCAAAATGTTTAGAGTTAAAAAGGTTACAGGCTTTTCTGAGGGAGTATTTAAACTCCATCTGTCAAACCACTTGCATAGAAGAAATTTATAGACTCTGCCAGCAGTACATTAAATTACTGTTTTCTTGTCTTCAATTTAGTAGCATGCATTGTTTTCATGTTGCCCTAAGAGAATAATTAATCTGTGGCATATTTATGCCTATAAAAATTATAAATACTATATTTAAAAAAACTACATCAGTAAAGAAATTCAAGGAGACATGTTGATGAGAGCCACATCAAGAAGGCTCCTGGCAAAGCCATCGGAATGTCTTAGGGGCTTGAGCTTCTCAGAAAGCCATGTAAGGGACTTGAAACCTGCTTCATATACAGTTTAATTGTGCACAAAAAACCCACTTGCATACTTTACATATTTAAAGAGAATGAAAACAAAAATAGGCAGAGCTTTTTCTCAGGGTCTAAATAACAAATTTGAAAATGAGGAAGTTTGGTATTGCAGTTTTCCAGGAAACCTCAATGTTGCTCCCTGACGCTATTGTTCCATACTTCAGTATATAATACAGATACAAGTCTGATAAATTAAGGGCTTCACAGATTGTTTTCTTTCCATTTACAGGAGAAAACGGAGTGCAGGAACACAAGTGACATCTGCTATGAGACCAAGACCACTTCAGTTCTTCTAGTTGCTTTGAAGAAGGTGAACCTACTGCAAATATTTGACAAGGGAGAAGTATAAGCAAGGCTGTGGTTGAAGCCATGTCAGGTCTAGGACATGATAAGCACTGCTCAAATGCCTGTCACTGAAATACCCAAGGGGAGGCGGCTCTTCTGTTCCCTACTTTTTTGATAAAGCAAATATTTCCATTGACTCAATGTAGGTTTATTACAAAGAAACAGAATGAAGACGGCGCAGGGGAGGGTGGGATAATCCTTACCAGAGCAAGTCCATCTGTGAACAAAGGAGTGCTGAAGCTCGGGTTCCTGCAGGCTCAACCCTGTGACCATGGCATTCCCTGCTCTAATAGCAGGCCACTCTCATCTGCAAAATACTCCACATCCACTAAAATATTTAAGACGCCATTTCCCCATCTCCAGCTCTTTCTCCTTCCCCTGCTACTCCCTAGGCACCTCCCACACCTCCACCCGGTCACCACTGCCATAGCCTCCCCTCCCAGGAGCCCCAGACAGTTCTGTGCCCCCAGCCAGGCAGGAGGCAGCCAGAGCTCGGCTGGGTTTTACATGTGCTGAGCAACTGGTGCCTAAGGGGCTAAAGGGCAGGCATGCTCCCATGCGCTGTCCTGCCCGCTTTGTGACTGCTGCCCTTAAGCAAAAGGGGAGGAAATTGGGCAGTGGACTGGAAAGTGATGGGGGACAGCGTGCAACAGCACCCCAGCCCCCCCTGACAGTTTGTGCTTAGGTATGAATCGCTGAGAACATTCAGTGTGAGAAAAACAGTTTAAAAAAAAGTAAGGCAACTTTCACTACAAGCAATTCTCTCCAGCAGATAGTTGAGAACACTGGGGGGGAAAAAAGGTGAGATGGCTAGTTTGGGGGGTTTCAGCTTTAACAACGGACAGGCTTTCAATATGAAGAAGCATTATAGTACTAATCTTGGTCATAACTGTTTTGCTTTTCTTTAACAGCTAAATAATTTAGACACACTCCTAGGACCTTCACCATTCATATGAAAGGAAAATGTTTATTGGGGTGATAAACAAGTCTGATGTCTCTCATTGGGTAGAACTGGACAGAAGAGAGGAAGGAATAGAAAAATCATAGAGCCACAGAACTATTGGGATTGTAAAGGACCTCTGGAAGGACTCTGAAATGCCAAAATATTACAACTATAACTGAATGCAACACAAATGGCTGAATCTGGCTCAAAACTTCTGCTTCCTAAACGCACTTCTGTTTGCTGTTTATTTTGGTAGCGAGACCAGTGCCAGTGTGGTTAAGGAGTGAGAAGGGTAAAAGTATCATCCTAGTCGAACACTAAGTGCAGGACATGCAGCACACTGCTTAGCTCTGGTACACGTTGCAGGGACTAGCAAATGCAATAAGACAGGCAAAAGCCAGAGAAGTCTGAATTTGTGGGCAGCTCCACCACCTCTTCATTATCAGCAGTTTCCAGACAGTCTTTGTCTGCCTGCCTTTGTAACCCCCTTCCCACCCACACACATTCCTTTCCAGCAAGGCTGCTTTATTTGGCTTATCACTATCTTTTTGTTAAACCCACTTAATTGGTGCATTTAACTCTCAAGCCTCAAGTATTACATTTCAAAACAGCATCTAAATTGAGAAAGGTCTTGACAGTCCCAGTGTTTGACTGTGCTAGCTCCATCAACTCACATACACTTCATAAAACACCAGGCATATGATAAGGCAAGCTGGACTTTATGAGCTGAGAAACTGTCCAAGTCAAAGTCTGCGCTCAACCAGGGTACTCCAGAAGTCCCTTTTTCATAAGCTCCTTCAAGACAACAAAGCTGCATCCTCCTGCAATGAACTACAGGGCTTCTACTGAATCTATTGCAGATCTAGGTGATCTTCATTGTGCTGCTCAAAGCCTGAGCAGTTTAGTTCACCATGTAGCTTATACCTGGTCTAAGTTTCCATTGCCACATCTATCAGGAATCTAAGGAAGAAAATCCCAGGTGGGAGAGGTGTCAGCACAACCCCTAATGCCAATATGACAGGAAGAAAAAAAAAATCCTTTGGTAATTTAGTTTTATTCAGGAAACTACTGTAAGCTTTACAAACACAAAAACGCACCAACCTCAGGGTACCATCAGCCACAACCACACTGGGAATTTTGTCAGTATAACACCACCCCCAGCTTTTAATAGTGTAGCCAGGGTCTGCCTAGACACTGTCAAAGGCAGCACGTAGCCTGGATACAGAACAGGAGGCTTTTTCCTTCTTGGTGTTTTTGCTGGGGGATTGGGGATAGGGGAAGGTTGTCTTTTAAGGGTTCTGCTCCACAAGAATTACTTTACTACAGAAAAAGAACTAGTAGACTTTGCTGGTCAAGCACCCTTCACTGCGAATGTAGTACTAGGGGTAAAGCTGGGCCCAGTACCCCTACGCCAAGGCATCAGCAGAATAGCAAAAGGCTAGCCCAGCCAAAAGCAGGACCATGCAAGGGTATAAGCACCTACATATCCTCTGCCGGGGGTTCTCTTGGTCAGAGCACAGCACTACTATCAGCTAGCAGAAACCTGTCGCACAGCTATAACCAAAAAGTAAAGGCTTTGCTTTATTCTCAAACCCATTTGTAACTTCTAGACGGTAACAGTAAAGCCCCTCTAAACACAGCCACTTGGAGGGAAATCAGGAAAAAAAACCCCAAAACCCAAACACAGCAAAATCTCCTGTAATGCCACATGTTCTCAATCCAGAAGAGTGTTTTTCTGTGACACCATGCTCTTGGGAGCAAGGCACCGAGCAGGGTGTCTCCCACAAGGCTTTGGCAGAGAGGAGGCTCCACAGCCTTCCCCTGCTACCAGCAGCAAGGTCCCGCTTCCGCTGGTGAAGACAGCACGTTTCTGACATGGTAACAACAGGGGTTAAATTCCCAGCATGAACTGGGCGAGTTGTAGTTTTAACACGTTAACATGTTCTACCAGGGGAAAAGTTGAAGTATTTTTAGCATGGCCTGAGCGTTTGTCTCTGCACTGTTCTGGCCTTTTTTGGAATTTTAAACTCTGGAAACAAATACAATACCCTTTGCAATAGTGAAACACTACCTATTTTCTTTTATTGTTTGCCACAAAGAAGACTGCAAGTTGTACTTCCGAAGACATTAAAGGAGAAACATAAATCAGCTACTTTTGACACAGCTTTCCCCCTTCACAACACCAGACAGTTCACTTACTGTTTCCCTAATTCCAGCTCATGCCCCCCAGCCTTTCCTACTTACATGCTGCTTAGCTCTGATGAAATTTCAGTGGAGAAAACATTTTTCTTTGTTATGAAATTCAATCCCAAGTGTTGCTTGAAGGCGTTGCCCCTTGCTCTCCTGTTTGAAATGGCGTGTGAGCACAGTAAGAGGGGTCAACAAAATACACTTGCAAACTGCATCACATGCAACAGCCCTCAAGTCCTGCCCTTCACACAGCCACTCAGTCTGATTTCCAAGATACGACAGGGAGAAGCATTTGATGACAGTATGTTTGTTTCTATCACTTTAAAAACCCACAGCTGCATTATTCCCTCCACCATGCTATGCTGGGGGCAAAGCCCAGCAAGTCCAGTTAGGCATAAAGGAGGAGATGGAGTTTAAGCACAAATGTAACAACAAAAAATTGATGCAAAGCGAGTCTGAGGACTGAAAGGGGAATCACATGGAGCGAAGGAGGGACTCTTCCTCTCTCCTATCCCATTTCAAATAATACCCCATTCCTCCTCCCCTCTGCCTGGCACTAGCATAAGCATGCAACACAGCCGTAAGGAACAGATGTCTGATAGTCCATGCTACACACAGCTGCAATCAGTGTGCCAAGGGACTGGCAACATCCAGGCCACACACACAAGTCACTCGGGGAAACAAGACTCTTTAAAGGATTAATGATGAGAGAGGCTCCTATGGCTGCAAACAGGAGACTGTGGTTGATCATCTGCTCCCAGCTGAAGGGAGAGGAGAACAAGCCTTTTGTTTGTCCTGGTTGTTCTCTTCCTCCTCTTCAGAGATTGCCATTACCACTGCTTCTGAAGTTGGGGAGGAGATGGGATAGGGGGGCTGCACCTGGTGACTTGGATTCATCTCTCAGGCAGCAGGACGAAGAAGATAGCCTTGAGGAAGTGACCAAAGCTGCAAACAGCGGCCACGAGCCAGTGGGAGCGAATGCTGGGGTCAGTATTCACCACGCATTTTGTGATGTCTGCCTAATGAGGAGGGAACAGAGATCGTCAGGAAGAGATGCCCAGAACCACACAAGCCACCGCTGCAGACTCTCCCAGCCCCACAACCCGTGGAACTATGCCACCACTGCTGCAGCACCGCTTTGCCACACTGTCAACAGCCACAAATGCTTGCTTTGACATTTCCACCAACTGCAAGTTATTAAATCAGGCTCAAGAGTTCTGTGAAATACACTTTCTGCATCAACAGGGTGAAGTATCCCCCTTTTCAGCCACCCCTGAGGAAAGAAACACTACAAGAACATTGTCAAGCATTTTCCATTTTGAATAGCTAAATAAAAGAAACTTTCTTCCCCTTTTCAAAAGAGCTAGGAAGCCTTGGCAATATCAGCATTCTCATCCTTTTATGTAAAGCAAGATGCTTCGCAGAGGTTGTCCTGTTTAATATCAGCTCAAGTTGCTTGTACTTTTTCTCTTGCCTTAATGTTTTATTTGGAACTCATTCAAGCAAGCCAACCCCCGATTTAAATCTAAAGTAATGCAAGCTTTGTTTGTGGAAATATGTATGCTGGCAGAGATGCCTCCCAGACGCGTGGGCCAGATTTAAAGATCCCTTGGGCAGCTGGTTTCAAGTATTAACAAGAATAGAAGCTGGCCTGCAATGAATAAAAAATAACAACAATCCAGCAAATTCATGAAGACAGGATCTCAGCTGTCATTGGGAGGAGAAGGTGGAAAATATCTTGAGGGCAAAGTGAACAGGAGAGAGGTTGATAGAAAACTGCATCTTCTGGTGGGGGAAACAAATTAAAGTTCTGCCAGCAATGTAACTGAGTTTGTGGTTAAACTCCAGCCTAGGACAAGGAGATATGGACTGTAGTTCTGCAACAAAAGGCACAACATTAGCACATCAACTCAACACGGTGTTCAGAAATGACTTTTGGGTGTGAACAAGAATCGGGTCACAAGGAAGACAAATATTCATCAGCCCCAAAACCTTTTTTTTTTTACAGGCTTAGCTCAGCAGTCTTCCAAGTTTGCCTTCTGACACAAATCTCTCATTGACCAAGCAGAGGGAAGTCAGACTCTCAACCCTGAGACATTTCTCCCATAAAACAGGACACAAGAGCTGCTGAATATTCCAATAATCTTTTCCAGTATTTCCACTTGTGTTCAAGACATGGGTGAGTCTTGGTAATAATTAGCAGAAAAGAAAAGGCGGACTTGGAGGGACAAATCCCCATGTCTGGTTAGTGAGTACATCTGCACTAACAAACTCCACCATCATCTCCAGACCAAAGGTCCGTTGACAGCAGCCTCAACAGCCTCCCACACAGTTCCAGCAGTTCCTCCCTCATGAGGAAGTCTGAAAGGCTGGCGTGCTGAATCACCACGCACTGCTGTTCTCTGGGGAGCATTAGGAGATGTTGAGCCAGAATAACTGACAAGTAGAGACTGCAGAAGGAATGAAAACAGGCACGCAGGGATGGGAAGAAACAGGATGACAGGAGGAAGCTGAATCAGCACATGGGGTTCTCCTGAGGCTGAACACGAAGGTGTGGAAATGCTGCTGCCTATAGCTACAGAAGCACGAGGAAACGTAGCAAGCAGCCAAGATAGCACATAACAGAAGATGCTGCAGTGTGGTACTGGTGGTTATAGATGGAAGAAAGACTGTGTGTACTGTGGAAGAAAGTAAAATGGGTCTGCTTAAATGCTTTCAGTGATGGTTTAGCAAATTCACCCTATTTGAATTTGTAAAAAATATTAACTGATTTAGCCTGTCAAATTTTAGGGACCAGCATGAACCTAAACCAGTCATGTCAAGCTGTCTCTTCAGCCAAGAGAAGCCATGACATGCAAGTACCTGTCTGAACATGTATTCAGATATCATGGCAGCTGATCAATAAGAAACTTAAGCTCTGAAGGGCTTTAGTGCCTCACATCAACCAGTATAAGGCTCAGATATGCACACTGGGTTGATTATAGCTGCAGAGGGTTAACTTACAGATGAGAAAGTGTGAACTCCTTAAAGCTGTGCTATACCACAGGCAGTAACCTCACTTCAGCTAATGAAGAGGAGCTGTAGTCAGAAGCACTTAACAAAATTTATAAGGTGCTTGCTTAGATAAACAAAATTGCCTGTCTGTTTAACAATTGCCTTATCTATTGTTATCCAAATAAAGCATAAATGATAAGGCACTGGAATCGAAAATTTCAAAGCTCCTTAACAAAACAGGTCTTTGAGTCTTGTGAGGCACTGATAAACTGTTGCAATGACAGTTTGATCTTCACCTGTTAATTATCCAAACAAGTTCAAGTCCCATGTTCTTCTCTAGCAAATGTATGTAAATAAATAAATAAATCTTTCTATTCTACTGTAAAGCCACTACTGGGGCTGCAAACCCCCCCAGGGAGAGATGATGCCTCAAAGGATTAAACATCTGTTGTTTCTCCTAAGAGGTTTGTTCTGGGTTAAGTTTTGGGGCAGTAGGGTCTTTCTCACCCTGTGGAAGCAGTACAGGAACCAACTGCTGAGTGGAGACTTTCAAATGCCTTTCCAAGGTCTGCACAGTGGCTTTTCTGAAACAGCTCAGAGCACGGTGGTTTCTCTTGGCAGCCAATGCGTAAGAGACAGGGGCCATGTGCACAGGGGAAACATGGACACTGTGCCAAGACAAACCAACCAGCTAGGTCAGGCAGCGGATGAAAGGGTCCCCACTACCAAGCTCTTTCGTCTGGCCCATTTGTGAACAAGGCTGGGAAATTTCACGCTGCAGTGCCTGGATCAAGAGGAAGACCATTCAGGGAAGCACAGCATAAGATGGCAAGAGGATTAGCAGCCTTTCCCCAGACTGAAGGAACCACTTATTTCTAGAAGGAAAATATCTCCCTGTTGCAGCCCAAATTTGCTGATAAGGGTACTGGAGACATGCTGCAATCAGCACAACCCAGCAGCTTTTACAATCATTTTGTTTGATCAGGGACAGTGAGACTGGCTTTCCTTTCTTAGGGCCAGATCCCAAGAGCAAGCAGCGTAGGTTCAACATCTCCAACAGAAACACGCTGGCCATCCCAAGAGGGAGGATCAGCAGAAGGAGCTAGCAGTGGGCAGGATTTATCTCATCAGCTGCAAAGAACTGCTTCCGGTCTGGGGATGGGTTTTGCGGCTTGTTTGCTGTGCAACAAACTTTCCAAAAATATCCGTTTGGAACTATCAAAACACCCTGTTTTCAACTCTAATAATGTCATACAAAAATTAAAACCAAGATGCTAGTTTATCAGAATGCACATTTTACCAAGACAAAGCAAAAAAATAGTTGAAAACTAGGAGGAGCCATGTTCCTATGCGACTTTGCAATTTTATTGAAACTGGATTTTTTCCAAAGGAAAAATTGTCTCAGAGAATACATTTCAAGCAGCTCTACAGGTACGCAGTTTACATACGCCTCAAATGACACTGAAGCTGGGATTTCACAGGCAGGAACTGTGCAACTTAATCAGTCACTTTCCCAGGATATCCTCTTCTCCTACCTCGGCACAATTATTTGCACAGATGCAATATGTAACATATCAGGGCATTCAAATCAAAGGTTACTTTTCAGCCCAACCAAACAGTTCCCTGACTCAGCTGTCCCCAAGGTCACACAGTTTTAGAGAGGGAAGGGATGATTTAAGGTGGCAATGACACTTAGTAAATGTAAGGGATCCAAAATCAAAACAATGCTACATTATGGTGTAGGGGAGAACTTTGTAAAGTAGGGCTGATGGTTGGACTTGATGATCCCGAGGGTCTTTTCCAACCTGAATGATTCAGCTCCAGGTACACTTGGGAAGTCTCAGCACAGAGAAGCAGTGCTCAGTTTGGAAAAAGACATCCCCCTCTCTCTGGGTCTCTGTGGAGCCTGCCCATTTTCTGCTGGCTCAGGAATAAATATCACCTCTTGGAAAGAAGGGAATTTGCTGCTGTGGTTCAGTCTGGAAAGAGTGCATGCCTTGGGAACAAGATGTCCCATGGGCTCAGTGGTGTCATATGGCATTATTTAGCTCCAGACAGCATCTGCCAGGCAGTACACCAAAGTGCTTTTGGCTGCATCAGTCCGAGGAGTGTCTATATCCCTGTCAGAAAGGAACAGAGATATGCACATCCCCCAGCTGCCAACTGCTAACAGCCATCTCAGTCTCCTGGGAGTCACTAAAACTTGTCTGGCTATTCCACAGCACCAAAGTAGAGCTCTTACTCTGAACCATCCTCCACAGGAGCACTGTTATTTCCCATTGGGTATAGAGAGAACCAAAGAAACCAGATGTTTAAAGCCATATGATATGGAGCCACACTCCAACACAGAGCAGCACTGTGCCTTACACACAGTCTCAGAGCAGGCCAGTGACAAAGCCAAGAGCCCTCCTGCTGTTGATGGGTTTATGAGTGCTCTACAAAGCCTGAGTGCACTACAATTTGAGCTACATCAAAAGGTATTCACAGAGCATCATCAGGATCAGGTCAGGTAATGACACAAACTACCAGGTTTTAATACGCCTCTAAAATTCATTACAGTGGCAAGTCATGTTAATATACTATTTCCCTTTGACTTAGGGAACTGTGGGTCAGGTGAAAGGGGAATTCAATCGGCAGGCCTAATTTTTTTCATTTTCTAGAAAACAGCTGCCCAAGAGAATGACCCCTATTTACAATCTCCTGCTACAGCTGGCTGGCAGCTCCAGAGGTGCTCAGGTCAGGAACAGAAGAGGCCCTGGTGGGTCAGGACTTAATTAGTCTGGTACAGCTACACAGGAAGCTGAGGACCAGAATAGCTGATGTTGTCGAGGACAGGACCACAAGGCAGTAACAGAGCTCTGTGGTGTCTAGCACAGGTGTAAGTAGGACAAGGCTGTGGAAGAGAATCTCATTCAATGTTTTTCTACATAAAGCTGCAGTGAGGGCTCTCTCACTTTCATTAACTGGGTTATTTTCTGGTCTGCATGTGTGGAAGCAAGCTTGATCAGACAGCACCTCTTACCCAGCCTCCTCTCCTTTTCAGCCATGCCACCAAGGTCTTGCGGACAAACTCTCCCAGGCAGTCTACGATGGTGTGAACCATGGCTGGCTGCGCGTGCCGCACACAGTCCACTGCCAGCCCCGCTGCCACTGCATAGAGAGACACCACCTTGCCCCATGTTATGCCTATAAAAAGAAGAAAGGTCATTCAGATTTACACATACACATGTAGCTCAGTCTTGAATAATCAAAGGAAACAGCCCTCCTTTGTTACACATGCCTGTGTTGCATGCATGCAGCTCTGAGTTCAGGTGCAGCCGCAGTTGTGCATGCTCACCACCGTGGGGGAAAAATAGTACTGGGGACCAGGATTGGGGAAAACTCTCCACCAGGAGAAGCAGAATTAAATTATCTGACCTGGGTATACTTTGACACTCATCAGCACTGGGAGCAGCGCTTTGGAAAAAGCAGCCCAAAGGCATCATTAAAATGTGTACCACCATGGTTTATATTGCCGTTAACTCTCAGCCGCACACATGCTGCACAGGAGATGACTGAATTCAAAGAGTTTGAGCAACCTGGGGTTTTTGTCACTGGCAAAACTCTTAAAGACCCTTAAACACCCCTGACAAAACATTCCTTTTTTTTTTTTCCTAGATCAGACAAGACTGTTCAAATGTGACACACAAAGCACACATGAGATAAGCATCTTCAGTCACTTGCACCATGACACAAGAGAAAAGTAGGGAGGCAAAGCTGTAGAGCCAAGAAGGTTGGCGTCCTCCTCAATATAAGGGGTATGGCTCAGTTTCCACCTGAAAACCAGGCAGCTTCAAGAATTTTGCCAAGGCAATACAGGGACGGAGTGTCAGTCAGTTATCTAATCTCCCAGAAAACAGCCTTCCTTCTAGGCTGACTTGCCAGCAGCAAATGCTCCATGGAAGTTGTCCCAGCAGCAGTCATCTTCCTGTTAGTGCTAGCAATAAGTGCTTGAGCTCAGTTCTGGGTACCAGCCAATCTCCCTGGGTCTCCTCTGCACTTTACCAACACCACTAGGCATAAATCCACCATGCTTAAGCATTGGAGCCAGCAGTCCCTTATCAGGCTTTTATCAGGACCAGTGACCTGGAAATGCAACCCTCCTGCACCCATGCAGAACTACCACAGCACATGGTAGTGTGCCCATGGATTTCCTTTGGATCTGCTAGATAGTTGAATACTCCCCCTGACTTTATTATCTGGAGTAGCAGTATTTGACAAGCATGCTGTAAAGTATTTTACAGTGTTAGGTCTCTCCTAAATGTAGCCAGAAACCAGGTGAAGTTTCAATATTTAAAAACCACACAAAACCATTCTTGCTGGGTTGCAGTGAGAAAACAGGTGAGAGGAAGGAAAAATTAGTTCAGTCACTAGATCTAAGGACCAGAGGGTCCTTAAACACAAGATCAGAAAACTGGATGTGCTCAGCAATCTATCAGCTAAGAAAGCAAACCTTCAAATAAAATTTATATGAAGTGAAGAGTTTCTCTCTTTCCTTCATCACATCCCAGATCCCCAGGTACCCTGACCCAGCTCTTTGGGATGGAATTCCAGACTTCTCGCGCCTGTTTATGGTGCAGCAGAGCTCCCCACATTCCTTTACAATATGTGCAGGTTTCAGAGCATTCCCACTTAGTAGTGCCTCAAAAGGGACACTCACACTAATACTTTTAGGAATTGCTTTCTTTTTCTTTTTAATAAAAGAGTACTAAATTTTAGAGAAACTGTCCAAATGTCATCTACAGGAATGGCTTGTTAGACTGAAGAAAATCCATTCGGTGTTCCAAAAAGTCATTTTTCACTCATGACTGATGTAAGATCAAAATCTACAGATGACCTTTTTGTGAGGCTCTGTAGCAACACTAACAGCAGTAGCTCAGTCTCTTGTGATACTCTGTCCTTCACCAGCACAATCTCCAAGATCAGAGTAAGTTATTAATATAGCTAAATTGGTGGTTATTCTGATTTTATCTTCCAAGTAGGCTTTGTGGTGTCCCTTCCTCATAGCTGTCACTCAGGAAATTCACTGCCTGTGTGGTATTCACAATATTTATCTGTCTTTCTCACATTTGCGTGTCACCGTGACAGCCAGCAGAACGAGTCAGAAAGAGGCTATGAAACCACATGAGAAAATAATAGAGAGCTTCTCCTGGCAAGAAAGGGACTGTCCTGTGGCAAGTTAATACCACTCCATCCAATGAAAGAGGCTTTAAGGTGTTACCCTTTGCTGACCACAACCTCCTGGACCAGAGCCAGAGCTGGCTTATACACAGCTTTAGTTATTACAGTTCTTTATCCCTGCAGAAATGTGGGTCCTTGCACCTTGAGTTGCATGAACTAAAGTTACCCAAAATTGCAGGAAAGAGTTCACTGGCTTATTCCCAAGCTTTTACTGACAGTGCTCTTTCTTAAATATCTGAAGCAGGTCCATTAAGCTTTGATATGTTTACATGGCAGTAACTAAGACCGACAGGGGGCTCAGGCTACCCTGATAGAGAAAGACAGCTACGGTATTGATTAACTTTGTTTCAAACCCAAGTTTCTCTTTCTAACAGAAGAAAAGTGTATCCACACCTATGAAAGATATAAGCTCAACAGATCCATGATTTCCTTAATACACAGGAAAGCAGTTTGCTCTACAGACATGTCAGTCCAGGGGTCTCCTCCCAGGGAGGATGCAGCCCTGCAGCTCTGGCTTCCCTGCCAAGGTTGCTACATAGTGCTGCTTGCTGCAGGACTTGCACGAGGTGAACACTTCCCAGCGCACAGGCAGAGCCCCTCTCCCTTTCACACAGACAGCAGAAAGAGGGCAAGTTTTTGGCTGACGCTTACCGTGGTGATGGATGTGAAAGGCTCAGTGCTCACTTCCCATTATCCTCCTCTTTACAGAGCTTGCCTAGAAGGGTCAAATGAATCTTCCAGTCTGCTTTTCCTGTTACCAGCAGAGCTGGGCCAGGGGGCTGAGAAAGGAGGAAATCCCCTCCTGATTTCGTTGCATGGAAACTCCTATTGCCACTGCTGGAGGCAGAAGATGGAGACAGCTGGCTCGGCTCCTCACTCAAGAGAGCAGGCCACAGCTTAGGCTCTTGTTCACACAAGATGTTGTAGGGGAGCCCTGAAGCAAGCAAAGAGCAGACACCTCTAACAGCTGCTCTAGACCAAGGCTGGGCCATGCCTGTGGCTGGTCCCTCTGCCCCAGGAGAGTTCCAGCAGCCACCCAGCCCCAGGCAGGGCAAGGCAGGGGAACAGGCCACAGCAGCCCCCATCTGCACTTTTTGAAGACACCTGCTGCATTAACTTTTCTCTCTAGGACTCTAGGACTCTCTCTAGGACTCCCTTGGCAGAGGAGCACAGTCTACAGGGAAGGCAGTCTGAGGCAGTCTGCCCCCTGAGACGTCCAGGCCAGGGTCAGGGTGACGCTAGTTTGATATGTCCCTCAGCATAAGCTGGTATTGTATCTGGCCAGTGCACATGAGCAGAGAAGACACAGTGTCTTGGTATAAATTCCTCAAAAGGTCTGGCTGCCATCCACACTGGGTGAAACAGGCACTCATCACCAAGTGAGACAATCTATTCACAGCTTCCCACTGTGCAGACTGGCATGCACAGGAGCTAATGACAAGAGGGAATGGAAAGCCAGTCCAGAAAGGAGTGATCAAAACAGAGAAACCTCTAAAACTTCTGCTTACAGAGATGGAACAAGAGGACACGGAAAAAGCTAAAGGCTGCTTAGAAGGCATTTTAAATAAGAAATACAAGTTTTAGACTCAAGGCCAGTCATGGAGTTGAAGGTATGTAAACACTGGCGAGCCCAGGGGAAAAATGAATTAGCAGGAGAGGACTGCTCTTGAAAGTGTTCCCGCTGCATTTCAGCTTGCCTGTCCCAGGGGAGAGCTCAAGAAGCCATGAGACATGACTGTGCAGAGTCTCAGAGCACCACACTATCCAAGGTTACTCAGATAAACTTCCCTCTTCTCCACTCGGCATCAAAGCCCAACTTGCAAATCAGACCTAAGAAAAAACTTGATCAAGTGCTACATTTCAACAGCTGGGAGAATACAGCCAGACACAATATACTTTCCTCTGGTGGAGAGAAAGAAGCCAAGAAGAATGTGCACAAGGCAGGAAGCTCAATTCCTAAGTGATGAGGAAGCAGTGGGATGCATTTCTAACTACATTTGCTCCTGCAGGGAAAAGTACTTTCTCCTGAGAACTCATTAACCATGCATCCCCATTATACAGGGTTCACTTCAGCCCAAGAACTCTTGATTAAAAACTGACGAGCATCTAAAACCAGGATAAAAGCTTTTAGAGATACCTCTTACCAGCTGGAGGAAACTTTCCTTTAGGAAAGGAAAATGCATCTCCCTTTTCTTCTTCTGTTTTTCCACCAAGTGACCCCTTCCTTCTGGGATTTATTTTACCAGCTGATGTAAATGCCAGCTCAGGCAGGCCCCAATCCAAAGCCTGTTAAAGTCAGTGGAAAGTCTCCTGCTGTCTGCAGAGCTGCTTTGAACCACACACCAGAACCAGTGGTATTGTCACAGAGGTGATGCTGCTGCAGATCCTTCAACATCCAAAGCAGTCAGGGGTCTGCATCTCCACACAGACACACTCTCCTCACCCTGAATGACTAACAGGTTGTATGGAAACAGAGAAGCAAAATACAGCCTTACCATGCTCTGTGACCTGCTCACTTTTTGCCTACATTCTCAGCTTAACCTTGCTTTAAATTGAGATTCAAGCGGTCTTTGATACACCAGAGTAAAGCCAAACCTGAGATAACTGGAATAGACAATGCTCTAAAGTTTAATATGGCACAATGTGGGACCAGCAAGGATGCCAGCTGTCCTCAGTCTTGCCTTCTTGAAAGGTCCATCTAGGGCTCATGCTTAGTCAAGACTTGTGGACAGTGTGGACAGGAAGTGAGCATGGCCAGAGCTACAGTATGAAGACTCAAAACCCACCGGAGTGTGGAAGAAGGCCATGTAAAAGATTAAGGAGAAAAACTCTTCAGCAAGATAGGGTCAAAATCCCCCACTCGCTTGCTGGAAAAGCATTGCAAGTGACTAATAGGGCTACCCAGACTGTCCAGGCACTTCAGTGTCCAACTGTAGCTGTTTTCTTAATAAACTGGACAGTGAAAAACAGGCTGAGATGCTTTAACTGTTGGTAATTGGCATGAAAACTCAGACTGCCCTTGACTCTGGTTTCTTTTGCTCAATAAGAGACTCTTTCCTCTATGAAAAAAAACTTAGGAATGAATGTCTGGTTGCCACAGCCAACTCTGATCTGCTGGATTTAGCATTAAATGCTGAGTCTTGAGACTGCAGTTGGGATCCAGGAATGTTAAAAATCAGCAGTCCCACTCCTCTGCCACTCAGCAGCCTTCTAGCAAGAGAAATTACAATAATTAATTGATAAAAGCAGTTGAATATACAACCCCAGCTTCATACTCACAGGTTATCCTGTTAGCTGCTCTGAGGCAGAGATAAGAAAGAACTAAAACCAGAGCATACAGAGCACCATGAAGGGTTGAATCCACCCCTGTGCAGGCAGTCAACTGCCAGCCATTTGTGCAGCATGGTGTTCCCAGATAAGGGGCAGCACTAGCAACAGAGCTTGAGCCTGGGCTTCTACCATGTTTCCAAAGTCTCTAGCATTGCCAGCCGCAAAGGGCTGAATCCAGATCTCATTCTTACTACCCTGAAAAGCCCAAGTTTAGAACCAAGAGTTACCAAGCTTTACTTTCAACAAAAACATTTTAAAACATCCACACTTTTCACTTGACTCCTGAGCTGAGAAGTTGAAGAACATCAACAAAATGCAGATCTCAATGAATCTGTCAATATATATTGGTGAGAGCAGGACGCCCAGAAGCCAGCAGGGCTTTCTCTCAAACATTGTGTTTATGCAGCATAGCAGCATACAGTCTGCTCTACCTGCCATCCACCTTTCTGGCTTAATTCCCTGTGTCACTTCAGCTTTGGAGGTAGGCTAGTTCTGATATAGTCAGCTATAGTAATCTAAGGAGATAACCTACTTACCTACAATACCAATATGTGAGCCTGCAAACTTGACCTTCATTTTTCTGTAAGCCTTGACGCAAGTAAAACTCAGAACTAACTGACAAGACAGGGCACCTGCACCTTGAACACAGTCACACTCAGATATTCCTGCCATACTTGCCCAGCTCTTGCTTTTTGACCCCATTTGGCCTCCCAAGCCAGCCCAGTGCAAGGGCAATCTGCCTTCCAGTCATGCTCCAAAAGGATGTCAAGGGCTGCAGTACTAGCCACAGAGTCCAACTCCATCCATTTCCTATGACACAGCATCTATTTCCCTGATCCAGGGAGTAAATCTGCCCTGCTCAACCTGCCTGAAGCCCTGCTTGAGCAGTCCCCCTCAGAGATCAATTTTATCACTTGTGATTCTGGAGAGGATCTGTGCTCTCCGCCACAACACACTTCAGATTTGAAGTCCAGGACATCAGCACAGGGCTTCTCCTGGGCGTCAGTGGTTCCTGTGCAGTTCATATATATAAAGAAGCACAGTTGATTGTGAAGATTAAAAGGGTTTGAGTGAGGAAGACTATTTGAAAGTACAACAGAAACCCGGACTTCTATCCTATAGCAACTACTCCCACAGTAACAAGAATCACTGCCTCCTGTGACACACCCTACATCAATGTCACTGGATTCAGTACTTTCACACTACTATGCTGCTAACGAGTAGTTGTCTTTGGGGTTTTTCCCCCTTTCTTTTTGTTTTGTTTTGTTTCTGCTCTCTAACATCGACTGTCCCTTCCATGGACACCACCAGACATTGCAAGAAAACCTACAAACGTGTCAGGACTTGCCTGACATAAATCTCCACGTAAAACATTTCTCTTTTCTCAATTCCCAGACTGCATTTCCAATTGCAGGCAGGGACTGTTTTCAGGAGAGGCTAAGGTTCCCTTGCAGGAATGCAGCGTAGAGTATATCTTTGTTTTTGACAACCTGGGACCAGTCAAACAGAAGAAGAACTAAGCAGTGAGAAAGCTCAAAGCACATGCTTGACCAGAACAGCTAGCATTGAGGGCCAAGACTCTCAGAGTATGAGAAGGGAGAAGCAGCAACTGGAAGCAGCAGGCTCCATTGCAGTTCTGGCTATTGCTGTGGGAAAGGAAGCCAGAAAGAGAGGAACTCCCTTGTGATGAGTTGGTTCTGGCTCCTAGCATCAGCAGCGTGAGCTGGAACAAGGGAGACTCCCATGTAATGAACCTCCTCCACTTGCCAATGGTGAGCAAAGGAGCTTGGAATGAATGACCTCCCTGTGCAATGAGGTTACACCACCTCCTAACAAGGAAGGGCTGGAGATGTCTTCTAGAATGAACGAGAACCTGCCAGAAGGATATAATAAAACAGGGCATTTCCTTGCAGAACAACACTGCACAGAGGAGCTCTCATTAAATCATTAAATCAGGGCATACTGCCAAACTGCCCACAGCCCTTTCAGAAACCAGGCCCCACCTTGCAGGCTATCCCAGAAACATGCCTTCTCTGAAAGAGGTGGCTCCATCCTGTTCCTTTCTGCCCAGTCCTGTCTGCATATCTGTCAGGGCATAGTACCTGCAGTGAAAATCTGTGCAGCTACTGCCAGGAAGGCATCCGTCACCACCGTCTCTGAGTGCAGCGAGATGTTCAATTGGCGGGCAATGTTCCGGTAGACGTTGGGGCGAATGTATTCCAGCTCATCCCCTGGAAACAAACAGGCAGGAGTCAGCACAAAGAACACCAAGTTCTGCACTCACCATGTAGGAATTATAGCAGGGGCTTCCCTTTGTATCCCTTCAGCCAAAGAGACTTAAGCCCAGCTACACCTTAGTTTAAACAGGCAGCGGTGTGCTTAGAGTCATTTAGATGCAAGCCCCTGCCAGCTGCTTTCCTAATATCCTCTGTGCCTGGGACTTCTAAAGGGAGTGGGGACAGGCAATGGTCTTGTACCAGTGGTGTGGCCACAGTAATCCCTGATATAAATGATGTTCCCAGGCTGCCTGCCTGTCTTTCCTCCAACAGAGGAGATGGGCATCAGATAAGCAAAGCCATCTTTTTTTTCAGAAGTGAGAAGGAGGCATGTATGTCTATGTAAGGTTTTGACAGATATGCCCCTTCTCAACACCCCATCAGACTTGTACAAAAAAGCCTCAACATGAGAGCAACTCAAGAATGCTGGAGGTTCATGAAAGCCAAGGATCTGCCCAGAGCTGCACAACATTAAGTGAACACAGAGACTATCAGCTCAGCTATTTTACGCTCACACAGGCACTGAGTGACAATCTGGAGTTCTGTCTCTCTTCCAAATGGTTAAAGAGATCTTAATTCGCCTGGCTGACTCCTCAGCAACAAGGTTCCTGACACACACAGGCATATGCTTTCACTTCCAGGTTGTTTTCTCCCCAACTGCAAAATGGTTGGAAGTGTTAGGCTTGCTTGAAGACCAAGATGGAAACACCAAGGAGAAGCAGAGAATCTCCTCCCACACACAGGTTTGTGCTATGGAGCTTGGGCAACAGCAGTAAGGCTTTTTCTCTGTAGCAAAACACACCATTTTTCAGCAATAGAATTAATAAAGCCAGTTTCCAATGGATTTCTCTCTCTAAAGGGGTTCACAGATAATGAGGGTTGTACAGCTGCTGTAGGAACATTACAGAATGCAGACATTGCATGGACCAACACCCTTTGTGCAGGGAGAGTCCTATTCCGTTTAGATTTAGGAGGGCACTCTGGAGCACCCAGGGGAAGAGGAGAGCTATGACAACAGCTTTACAACAAGATCCAGATGACCTGCCTTAGTCAGAGGGCAACTGAGCCTCCTGGAAATTTCATTTAGACAGGGACTGAAAAGGAAGATGACACCTCAGTCAGGAGCTTGTTATAGAGTCATTAGCTACTGGACCTTAATTCATCTAACTGGGCACTGGTACTCAGCACAGCACAGGCAAAGCCTAGCTCTACAAAATTCCACAGACAAGCTCTCTGGGCCCTTTGTGTGTGTGGGATTGTCCCACACAGTCTGATGGCAAGAGGAAACCCTGCCAACACATGGTCAGCCCTGATATGAGGAAACATTACTTGCACTATTCAACAGCTGTTTTGTCCTTGCACGGAAAACACAGGCTTTCCTGTAAATGTGAGGAAATGGGGATAGCCCTGCCTGTGGTTAGCTGAGAGGGAGGCATAAGAGGCTGGGATCAACACTTGGTAGTCTGCCACTGTTACAGCTTTTAAACAAGCAGTACCTGGAGGCCTGAAATGAGATGAGGTTTTGGTTGGAGACACACATGCTGCTAAAGCGGGCCGTGCCCTGCAGCAAGGCACAGGGCAGCCAAGAGCATCAAGAAGAAAAGCACAGGAAAGTAGTCCCAGGCTCATGGAGGCTCCCTGCCCCAGCTGCCCCAGGACCTCCAGAAGCACATTACATTGGTGGCAGTCTTTGGTGTCCATGTTCAGATGCCCGACTGTGCACTTTGCAACATTTAAAGCAATTTCTGTGCTTCTTCTCCTTCCTCCAGTAATCATGGAGTAACAAGCGAGCAGCAGTGACGGATCCCATATGCAGAAGCTCAGTGCAGAGGTGAAATAGCACTTGTCTGGGTCTTGGCCACAGAATAGAGGAGTTCAGATAAACCAGACCTCTGACACATAAGACAGGTTGGTCTGGGGTGTCTCATTTGGCCATACATTAGGTTTTGCCACTTCTGACTCATTAATTGCACTAATTAGCTGCTAAGCCTCACTGAGCTGATGGGCTCTCGCTCTCCAAGACTGCAACTGCATTGCCTGTGCCCAGCACCTCCGCTGACCCACCAGCCAGTTCACTGGACACTCTGTGGCCAAGAGGGCTAGGAAATACTCCAACTCTTCATCTTCACAGGCTTCTCAGCACTACCACAGAGAAAAAACTGGTCTGGCCTGTTGCACTGCTTAGTAAGCAGCTAAGGACTACTGTTCCCGGCAGGTGGCTGGATACCACTCAGCCTTGTACTGGTTATAGCAGCAAAGGGGAAAAGAAAAGGACAGGCCATGTAGCTGGCAGAGCTTCTGAACAAACAGGACTAAAACAACTCTTCATCCTAATAAGGAGGACTGCTTGCACTTCTTGTTGCATGGGTACCACATGGTGGTCTCCAAACAGATTTGCTGAGAGAAGGCGCCAAGTTCCTCGGACTATCAGCCAAATCTTTCCATCTGGACACAAATAAGTAACAGGAGAGTCATCCAGGAGACGCCTTCAGATCCAGTCTGCCACCTGCTCGCCCTTTAACATGCTTCTGGCCACCCACATAAGATCTGGTTGAAAGCAAACAAATCTCAACCCCCAACCGAGGCAGAGAAGAAATAGAGGACAAAAAGGCAGTGAGATTGACAGACGAACAAAAAGGCAGTGAGATTGACAGACGAACAAAGAGGAAGAAGTGGGGAGACCAGCCTGGTCCTGAGTTTGTTAGTCCTAGCTAAAGCTTACTTCACCAGACTTATTTGAACATTGGTGTAATTTAATCAGATGCAAATGCTAGTGGTACTTTCCAAGCCAGATGTGAACTAATATACCAGCCTGCAGGCAAAGAGAGATGTTGGAAGCAACTTCCAAGAATGAGGATGTCAGGATCCCAAAAGACAAATGGCTAAACTTGAGCATACAGGAGGCTAAAACCTAAAGCAAAAGGCCATGCAGCCTTTTAGAGGGTGCTCTTGGTACAAGCACAACTCCAGAGCATGTCTTCATGTAGCAGCCTATAGGCATAACCTTCAAATTGCCCTCCCTGCAGCCACAATGGGGAGCTGCCTAGTGTGGACACTGAATGGCAGTGTGTGCCGGGCAACATCAGCCAACTCCTCCTTACTCCAACAAAAAGCAAGAAAACTTGCATCTTGCTGAATGATTAAGGTAGGCAAATGAAAATTAAACACACTGTGTGTCAACACACAGACACTGAAAAGTGGCTTTTATAAAAGCTCCAACACACATGATCTAAGCAACAACCCCCACACTGAATGTCCTTGCAGCCAGGAGAGTGACTGATGAAACCCAAATCTAGAGGTAGCAGTACTCTACTAGATGCCAGCTTGCATTGTGTCATGGCAGCCAGGTCACCTGCATCTGAAGAAAACACTGCAAGACCTGTTGAAATGCCAAGCTGAGAAAGACTACTGAAAATACTGTGAAAACTGTTACAGTCTGGAGTCTTATGCAGATAGAATCAGTTTGCTGTTGGGCTTTCTTGAGCTGCATCATGCTTTTTAACTTGTTAAGAGTCTTTGGAAAAAAGTAGCTCTGCAGAAACACTATGGTGAGCAGTGCTCCAAGAGACTGAAGAAATGCAAGTAAAGGAGCTGCTTAGCGCTGATCCGCAAAACCAAATCTAAATGCTCAAAGCAGAGAAGAAAAACTTCTGTAACATCACATGAAAAGTCTCTTGGCACTCATCAGCCCCAGAACTTTAGTCTGGTCTGAATTGCTCTCTGCAGTTTCAGTTCCCTCCCATACCTGCAGGGTCTTACCCAGTCGCAGCAGTATGGTGGACACCTCAGCCAGTTTACCGCCAGGCACTGGTGTGTTGTGCTCAGGTTTGCTCCAGCTGACACCTGCTCGAATTAGCCTCGAATTTATGTAGTCTCTGCAGAGAGCCTTGGCTTGGGACACAAGCTCCTTGTCAGTGGGAGACCTGTCAAAAACCTCCATCACCTCTGCAGCAAAGACTGAGGAACGGCGTAGTACTTCCATCCTTGGCTGCTGAACCCACACCTCAGCATACACTTGCTGGAAGGCTAAGCCGGTGCCTTAGATGAGAACCTGTAGGAGCTGTGTAGTAATCCTCTGGTCTCTTGGTTTGTCACAGCTCCCAACTGTTCTTCTCAAAAGACCAGTTTTTCATTTTACCTGGTGAATAAAAGCATCTGTAAGTCCTCTAGCATTGCAAAGCTGTAAATCAGAAGCCCAAATAACCTTAGTTACACTGAAGGCAGTAGTATCACAGTGCATCTTACAGACAAGGAGCTAAGTCTTCTGTCTTTGCAGCATGACCCACAGAAGTGCTGCAGTTTTGAACTGTGGAGGTGTTTCCTCTTTTCCAGTTCAGATTCAGCAGTCCTATGGTCAGAGCGTGGAAACAATTCATAGAATGTGTAGACAATCTCAGCTTGTTTCAATTAAACTGGAAAAAGCTGAATCCCAAATACCAGCTACAGTAACCTCAACCAGATGTCAACAGACATTCCAGCTCAGTAGGTCATGGATCTTTCTGAAGAAATGGCACTATTGCAAGAACAGGGGTACGAGAGCATTTGAAATGTCTCGATGGAGACAGTTTACTACATTCTCAGTTTAGGTTTCGGTTTTGCCACTTTCTCTTTTCTTTTTTCTTTTTTTTTTTTTTTTTTTCCCAAAACAACGTGCATACTATTTCTCAGTAACCTTTAGCAATAGCAGCGAGAGCAAAACATAAAAGCAGATTGTAAAAACGTTTTAACGTGTGTATGTCTAAAGAGAAAATTCAGATTTTCTTCAGAGGCACATGAATTAATCTGTTGATCTGACTTTTTAACCCAGTGCTGCTTTTGAAGTCAGTCAGACCAGTCTTTATTCAGATGTTAGTAATTTTTTTTCAGTCCCTGGTTTTAGTCATCAACTTACAGCAACGATTTTCAAACAAAATAAAACCAGTTATTTTTGTTTGCCCCAATGAAAAATATATTTACCTCTCATGTTGCACTTTTTCCCCCTCAGTGATTTCATTTGGGTTTGGTTTCATGTTTCTTTGGAAGATCTGCATCAATGGACACCTGCTTTAAGGATTCATAGGATACTGTCACACTTCTCTGGAGAGCACTAGCCTTCTCTGCCGTGCTCTCCGCGGGGCTCACGCCAGCGCCGCCTCCTTCCCCATCTCTGTCAGCCTCATCCCGGCTGCACTCCACCGGGATCCTCGGGCTTGCTCTGCTGCTTTTAAGGGACCCAGGCGGCAGAGGAAAGCTGCTCGCTTTAGCCTTGTAAGGAAGATGAAATAACCGGGAGGTGGGGTTGCTAGAGCCAGAGAGCAACGCTTTCTCCTCCCCTTCTCTCTTAAGGACGTTCTCTGTTGTTCTGCTGCGGGCGCAGGGCCTTCATTCCAGGAGCCGTCTTCGGGGATGAGAGTAGGAGCAGAATTTCTCGCCCAGGTTATCCCAGGTACAGACAGTGGTGAACACACTGCTGAAACAGGAATAGATCCTGATGAAGTCTCACGGCAGATTTTGCAGAGCTGATGTCTGCCAGTCGTTTTCAGAGGGTAGCCATGTTGGGGGAGCTGCAGATTGTTACACTTCAGACATACCCATCCGATCTGAAACGGTAGAGGTGATTAGCAAAGAGACCTACAGTCTGGTAGGGGGTTTGCTGATTGGAAATAGTTTATCCAGAATTGTTTTGCAGCAACATGTCCATTTCATCTCAGTGTGTTAAGAAATGTAACATATAAAGTTTAAGTAAAACATTTCAATTAGTTCCAACATACTCAGAAATCAATTTCAACATCAACTTCTTGTTGCAACATTATCATATTGATGCAACAATGCTCAACATTTTTTCTGTGTATGCGATGCATTTCAACTCAATAGACTAGATACAAATGTTGGCTTTTTGTATTATGATTTGAAACAAAAGACGTTTTAGACATAGAAGTTTCCTGCAGACAAGAAATTCTGCCAGCCCAAACACAAATTCTCTCCAATAACAATGTGTAGATTAACAACTGGGTACGTGGCATGTTCAAAATACAGCCTTTCCAATAGGAGGTCAGAAGCAAGAAATATCTGTTGTCATCTCTTGCTTGTCACCTCTGTGACAAGACAGAGGCAAGTACACGTCTCCAAGGTGTTAATCACAAAATACCCCCAAGCACAACCTGCATCCCTTCTGGTCTCAAAATTGAGGGATAGAAAGGAACAAATTTAACTGAATGAAAAAGCCTTATTATACGATGTATCAAATAATCTGGCCAGCATCCAACACACAACTCACACACAGGCTTAACACAGAGCATATGTTTTGGTCTGCCATTAACTGGATTGCTGGAGACTGCTTCGCTGAGTGGGGAAGGGGGCTGCCACAAAGCCTCTTCCCCCACCATTGACAAATCCTCTTTCTGACTCGGCTTCTTCTGGGAAAGGAGCAGCATTAGAGAGAGGTAGTCAGCTGGGGACCCCAGCTTTGCTTGATACAATCATGTTAAGATGGCAATAGTGACTGTGCATCTCCGGCACCAGCAGTATTTGCACAAAGATTCTCTCAGAAATTTGTTTTTATCCACTTCCTCAAATTTAAATGTAGTCACTACAGACAGAGGCCTGTCCCATAGAAGCTGAAATCAAGACTCCAGAGATCTTGTGCTACTGCCCACCCCTAATCCAACCCTTCTCTGTAGACTGCATCTCTTGGAAAATCGTATTTCTGCCTTTGCAGCTCTGATGGCTGAAAAATCATTAAAAATTATGTTTTAGCTTCCTGAAGCAGCTGACAGCTTAAAACAGTAGTCCTATTTAAACTGCCCCTATTCAGTAGGGCTCTGAAACAAAGACGAATGCTTAAATATCAGTATTGCTTAACTAATGATAATGTTTCCCAGAATTCTGGCAAATATGCAAGTGCCACAGTGCTTCCCAGCTCTCCACAGGTGCCAAACCCATCCCACATGTTCCCTGCCCGACTGTCACAGCATGCAGCACCCCCTCAACTTCCACCCTGCAGCAAAGAATCAAAAGCTAGAAACATGAAGGCTGTGTATAATAAACCAAACTTTGTACTAAAAAAGCCAACAGTGCATGGTATTCCACCTATATTCCTATATTATTTACACAGTAAAAATACAGCTTCACACTGAAAGGTACCTCTATAAGTACAAAGAGATGAAACCACAGCATCGAGTGCTCAGCTGACTGCAAAACAACAGGGTCTTACAGTCCAAGGAGCTGCCAGTGTAATCTGAGCCCCTTTTTTTCAGTATGTTTAGGCTACAACACTTTGAGGCTAGATGTATACTGGAGAAACCCTTGTGGCAAAGGAGTATCAGGGATCAGTGCAGAAACAGCTTTTATCACCCAAACCCACTCTTCCCAGTGTTGCTATTAGTAGTATGACAGCGTTCTGGCTGGAACAACAGGATCCACACCAGAGTTCCTGCCTATCTCAGATGGGGTGACCAGAACAGCTTGAAGCATTCATTTAGTAAAACCAGGGGACCACAGAGATATGACTACATTTTGTAAGTATGTCAAGTGGAAACAAACCCTGGAGAAACCACATCAGCGAGAACACAGCATTAGTCTAAATGTGGACAGCTTATGCTCAGTATTAAATAGTTCAACCATTAGAGAAGTAAGTCTCTGGAAGGGCCTTTTAGCAGTTGCAGTGGAAGCAAAATAGCTAGCTAATTGTGAACACACTAAGCTTATGAAAGGGTCTGCATGATACAGTTTCCTGCAATACCATGAGAATGCTATAGTGCCCTAGGAGGTCATTTCCAGCCTTGCGTTCACACAGCCTGCTTTCTGTCAGAGGTATTGTACTGCTTCACCTCACAGTGCCAGTCCCAGCCACTTCACACAGCCTACCACAATTCCAGCAGAAACTACACACTGTAACACATAGGCTCCATGTTCTAACCGGCAGAGTAAGGACTTAGAAAAGCAGAGAGATGCCACTGACAAACAGTTAATAGCCAGGCAGCTTGGGAATGAAGCCCGCTAGCCCCTGCCTGCTGGAAGAGGTTTCCCTTCAGAGAGAAGATGCTCTGGCAAAACAGTGGCGATGGAACCAGACCAAAGCCTTCTACCAAACCATACCTGAACCACCTTCTGCACTATCTCGCCCAGGTTTAGCATAGTCTTCTCCCCACTGCCTCTTCCTGTCTGATTTTTGCAGCAATACTTCAATTCTGCATTCATGAAGTTTACAATTACCAGTGTGAAAACACCTACGATGTCAGGCTTTAAGTTGCAAAGCCATACAGGAGGAACAGGGAGGCTAGAATAAACACTTCTTTTTGTACAGAAATATTTTGCCAGCTGCAACAGGAAAACAATACATGGAAGTAGCAGCTTAACAAGACCCAAGCAAAACACTGAAGCTTTTTAAACCTTTCTCTTGTTTCTGAAGGACTTAATTCAAAGCATCTTGAAAGCCAAGCAGTTATTTGTATTACTTGCATGATGGAATCACCCTGGAGCACCTTTCCTGCAGCAGGATTTTGCAGTGCCAAGTGTCACGTGCCAGACCAAAGAGGCTGTGTCACAGTGAACATATCTTCTGCAGCCTTTAGACGGTTGACTTAGACACATAAAATTTTGCAATCAATCCATAACTTAGGCTTCTGACAAAGATCAGCACTGATATCCGATGCTTTCTTAACCTACTGCCATGTTCACTACCACTGTAGTTATATGTTCCTTGTAATATATATATATCCTTGTTATATCTATGTTTTGACAAAGGCCGAACAAAGACATGGTGTGCTCCAGAATTAATGTACAAACACACTGAAGGGGAAATGGTAGCATGAATTTAATGTTAGCAAGTAGTGCTATGAGTTGAATCACAGAACATCTCTATCTGTATTCCTGAATCTTATTCTGGAAATGTTGCCTGAGAAGAGTTTAACCAACCATTGCTACTCAGGTATCAAGCCAGCAGCTGCCCACTGTAAAAAGAGGAGCTTCTAGCTAAACCTAGGACTTGGATGAGGCTGCGTCATCAGCTTGAGAACCTAATTGGATATAACTCTTCTGGTTGTTTTCTATCCTCTAATTTGCTTCAAAATGACATATTTTAGTGAACAGATCATCTCACAAGCCAAGAAGATGGCAGACACAAAGAATAAATAAGCAGCTTTAAGTTCTTCAACAAATATAGCTTTGTTTTGAAGCACAAATAAAATATTTACATACTGTACCACCAAAACAGAAAAGGCAGAAGACACCTAATGAGGTCACTATTCCCAAAACAGCAAAGAGGACTCTTCCCTTTTAAGCTCTAACCCATTAAGGTAGAGAATGAGCCTTTGTCTCATTCTGTCACCTACAAGGTTTGGGAATCAGTTCATGCTTACACCCAGGATACACGACAGGTGAAGACAGCCAGGTGCCTCTGCGTGAGGTGATCCTGAAATCTCAAGAGCATGAAATGTGTGCAGGCACTTCTGCACTGGTTCAGCAGCATGTATGAGCTTTGACGCATTTCTCTGCTTCTTCAAGACACGTGGTGATCACAGACATGTCCTACACAGGCTAGTAGATTGCTGGATCTGATAACTACAAGGCAGGACTCTACCCTGCTCACATCTTCATCCCCTAAACAGGCTCCAAGGGATTTAGGCTCAAATTTTGCATGTCCAGAATGTAGTCCTAATTTTAATAAAACCCTTACTGACTTTTAGAAAAGCTTTTCAGCCTCTGCCTCTAGTGTTGGGCAGGGCAGCAACTATGCTTTAAAAAAAAACCCCATCTTTTCAAGTTGTCAGACAAGGAGAGTAGGCTGGTGTCTCTAGTCTGCACGGGTGAAATCTGGAGTACATGATTCCTTCATATGCAGTTGATTATGTCATACATCATTTCAGCCATTAGGATGTAGTTCCACCCTGACTGCCAGCAAAGTGTTTCTACACACTAGATACACCCCAAGAGTTTGTGGAACTCCATGTTGACAAAAATTTTCTTCAAGACTGCTTTGATTTACCCCTTTTACTCGGTGGGGCAGTACAGGGCTGTTCCTTTCAGCATCAGGGTCATCTAAGCAACCTTTGCATCCAGCTGCTCATACCCATTCCCAAAATGTCCTTCCTAATTGCACTGCTTTGAGTTTGTGTTTGCTGGCACTGGTTCAGGGAGCTGGCTGGTTATTTTTCATCTGGATATGAGAAACCTTTCATCCAAAGCACATCTGCAGACAGCGTTGTATTAGCACAACCAAGGTAGCTACAAGCAGAAGGAAAATTTCAGCTTTGCCATCAAGACAAATGTCTATGAAACTATAGCACTAGTATTGTTTCTGCATATAAAAATACAACTGTGGTGATCTGGAGCTTCCTAGTCCACTGAGAAGACAAAAAAAATGCTGTCAAAAGGTAATCAAGAGAGACTTCAGCAAGAGCAACGATTGCTCAACATGTCTGGGTTTCCCAGCACTAAGATGACAGCTTTCTTCTGATGGAAAATACTTAAACTAAGAGGAAAAAAAAAAAAAGAAAAGAGATGGCAACCTTTTGTTACCTGACACTGATATCTCTGAATCAGGCACGTACAATAGCCAGGACAAAAGCA